AGCTTTAAGGGTTTACGGTGCTTGCGGGTACCCGCGGGTTGGTTGGGTTGGAGTTAGGGTTTAGAGTTTAGGGGGTTTTGGGTATCAGTTCTAGGTTAGGCAGGACCTTCATGTCGCAAGCCGCGAGCTGTCGTGGCTGCACGAAGGAGAACGGCCATGTGTGCATCATGTCATGTCCAGAACGCTTCGTTACAATGCACAGTCTGAAATCACTCTCGACGATGACAAAAGCTATACACTGAACCTTTCTCTTTTTCGCTTGCCCGCCCTGCACGCGGGCAACATCAATCAAAAGAGCCTCACACCTCGGAGCCTCTCCAGGTCCACAATGGCCTACAGGATCAGATAAGCGATCGCCGAAGCAAGCAGTGTCCAGTAACTTCCGGAATATACTTTTCAAGCCTGAAGCCTAAGCTGTGGCAGGTTCTCTAGTCTGTTGTTTTTTTGGTGATGCCAATACTGCTTTTGGATGCCTTTGAACTGCTAGTTTCTCGGGGTGCAGGCCCGGAGAGGCGGAAACGCTAACCATCGAGAGCGACATGTGCGCAGCACAAACTCAAAACTGGCGCGACAGCGACGGCGGCCGCGGCCTCACAGGATGTGCGCGTGGCCCGCCTCCAAGGTGATCCCCTTCGTCGCGACAAGCTTGAAGAGCACGGAGCGCTGCGCCGCGTAGACGTAGAAGCCACTCGGCGACCCTGCGCTTGCCGCTCCCTCCATCGCCCGCAGCATCCGAGGGAGTTTAAAAAAACACGCCAACGCCCATTTGCTTGACCGCTGTTTCCCCTATTCAAGTCTTTGGACTCTGATTGTTCTACAGGGAAATCGATGTTGATACTTTGTTTCTATTCTTCTCGTTCGACAATAGAAAGTACCCGACCTCAACGCCTGGGAGCGCGGAGAAGGAGGGGGTCTCGTCTTCAGAGACCATCACAAGCCCGGCGTTGTTCGCGTCCAAGGCATCGACGGACAGCGACAGCGACTCGCCCTTCGCCACGAGCGGCTTCGCCTCCTCAGCACGATGGCATGGCAGTTCCCCATACTCAGAACTCAGAATCTCTTTGCAAGATGTTGCGGTTTAGGGTTCACGCACGTGACGCTTTACCTACACATGATACCACAGGTCACGTAGAAGACGACAATGACGATACAATAGAATTCGTACGTATCCACGAGCGGCCTGCAGCATGATCTTCCGCGTCGGCGAGATGGTGCACTTGTGACCATAGACCGCCTGGTTGGCTTGGGCGACATCGAACTTCAACTGCTTCAGAGCGGACGCGATTGTTGTCACCTGTCGCAACACGGTCTCACGGTGACGGTGTACTTTGTTTCCTGTACAACCGTACTAGAACCATAGCAAATAAGAGTGTCCAACCGTAGCTTGTACATTGGATTCTAACTGGAGTCATTTTCTAGCTCGACGGCCACATCAAAGCTATATGTCAGTATGTTGTTTTGGGCCAGATCATGCGAGGCCTGCATCTCCTTCCCGGGCAACTTCATGCAGATCTTCACCTTCTCCGCATCGACAGAGCTCGAGCCGGGCGCGACGGACCACCTGAGGCAGGCGTGCTAAGTTCACTCAGTTCACCGACGCAGACGCAGCACCTTTTAGCTACGGCCACCTCATCTCCAAGCCATTCCCGTACTTGGAGGTGTCCGACTCCATCACGAGCGACATCGAGCCAAATCCGCAGATAATCTTAGCCCTCTTCAGGGACACCGGCTGCTTTGCAAGAAGCGCGAGCTGCCGAGCGTCCTTGACCTTGCTCTCGGTCGGCAGCGGCTCCATGATGAGCAGGTCGAGGTTGTCCCCGATGTTCAAAGACTTCAGAATGTTCCATTCCTGCTTGAGCCTGGGTAAGTCCAAACATGTAACAAGATGTCGTTCAATATATGTCTGAAGAACAACAACTGTCACATGCTGTCAAACTTCTCACTTCATAAGGAGCAACTCATCCACGCTTGCGAACTTTGTCTGCACGGGCTTCGGCGGCGGCTTCGGTTCACTCTTGGGCTTCGGATTTGGCACCGGGTGCTGGGCCTCTGTCGCACCTGTGGGGTCCAGAATCATCTTGGCCGCGAGCTTCCGGTACTCCGCGAGCTGCTGCAGCACCGGCGCCGTGCTGTGCTGGAGTGCAATATCAGCATCGGCCGGCAGCACAATGCTGCCTTTGCTGTTGATGCCCAGGACTTTCAAGCTTTTTGCTAGCTCCAGGGCTTCCGCTGCGACATCGATCCGAGTAAACGACTTGTCGACATCGACAGGGGCGTACCCAGCGATGGAGATCTTTCGCCCCTTGATCATCTCCGCGGCCGCGGCCTTGAGCCTGACCTGCTGGGACAACGGCACCGTATCTCACTCAGCACTCTTATAAGGCGACAACGACAACGATGCAAGGAATCACCCTGCAACATGGAGACACGCACGCCTGGCCCAGCGTCTTCAGGTGCTCTCGATCGTCCACGGACAGAAACCCCACTGGAAGTTTGCCTTCGGACGCATTGCCGCTGCTCACGGCACCGGCGGCAATGGCCTGCAACAGGCCGTGCTCCGCGTCGCACTCCCCGCTCATAAGCGACAGCAGAAAGAAGCCAGACTTCTTCAGACCTGCGCCAGTGCCAGTTCGACTACATCCCAAGGAAGTCCTAAAGTCTCATCATGACATCCAAAGAGTGACTTGCACAAGCCATGTTTAAGCGCATGTCGCGGCTGACTCCGCGAGTGCCCGCTTGCCTCCTGGGAGCTTGGGCAGCACAGGAAGCATTTTTTGAAACACCGTCGACCAAGCCACGTGTCCCTTCTGCGCGCGATCTCGCGCCGTGGCTTTGGACACGTCCACCTGGACTGGACGCAGAATCAGAAAAACAAACGGACACAAGACAAACAATAATGATGACTCGACAAACTCGCTCGTCGCAGCACATCTCTAAAGAAGTGCCTTTGTCGGCGTGCCGGATTCTCTTGCCAGGATGGCCGCAGCAGGACTGGTGACATAGACAGAAGCCGGGCGCGAGAAGGGACCAGCGAACCCTTGGCCCAGGTCTGTACCGGCCACCCAGTCCGACAGCGACGGCATGGACTGCGGCATGGACGCATGCTCGTCGTCCAACGGCGTGATGACGAGGCCGGAGCACAGTGTCCTGCCAAACCTCACGCTCTCGAACGCGAGACCTGGGGGAGTTACAGTTACACTTGTGCCTTGTGCATGCATGAGCGCATGACAGCGATTTCACGCATTCAGTTCAATTATAAGTACTCGTGAAGCTAAGAATATAAATCTGCAAGTCCAAGGGACTGAAGTCCTCTGCGACAGCGTCGACAGCGAGATGCTTCCGGAGATCGTCTTTGGCAGCGTTCAGGAAGATCTTCCGGCGTTTCACAGAGCTATCCAACCGTCCGGAGCTGCCCACGTTGGGCAATTCCATGGACGCCGCCGCGTTCTCCTCAGCGTCTTCCTCTGACTCGTCCTTGGCGCAATGCAAAAAACGCCATGGGGCAGGAGAGTGGCCCCAAGTGTGCCGCCGCACTAGCAAAAGAGAAATCTGCCATACTCAACCTCTGTCTCGTCTGCGTCTGCTGCAAGTCCGTCCGTCTGCATCAGACGGTTCCCTTTGCTCGGGCATATCTCCGGAAAAAACACAAGCTTGGCATACGGCAAGTGTTTGAACAGCTTCTTGAGCTCTGCCAGCTTTTTTGAAGGAACCTAGAGCAGGATACGAAGTTGACAACAAGGATGCTGAG